GAATCTGTTTTAATTGATGAATATATCTCAGCATCTGTTCATCTACAAGCAGAAATTGTTTAATATTAAGAAAAATAGGTGTCAGTCCACGTAAGTTTTGAAAATTAAACTAGGAGTTTAGAGTACAGGCAAAACAATTTTAGTACAACGGTTTTATGAGTTTTTAGTCAGGAAACTGCAACCAAATAATGCTACACCTTCCTGATGATGATGTGAACATGCACAAACAACTTTATGGAAATAATTGATTTGATTATGAAATTAATTTTACTCAGTTTTTTTTTCTCTGCTTGATCTTGACAAGGGCAGACGCTTCCTCCTCTGCTCTGTCCCTGCTTTGCTCTTTGTCTTGTGAAACTTTTTCAGAGCCAATAATTCTCAGTCAGGTCATCTGGACAGTTTCTTTTTTATAGAGACGTTTCACCCTCTATCCGGAGGGCTTCATCAGTCTGAGAAGTTCCAGTAAACGGTTTTCTCACCAAGCAGTAAACTTCTTAAGTGGGCCAATCAGTTTGCTGGAGCAAAGATGGTTTCTGGGGGCCGTCCTGTCCCCTGTCGACTCCTACCAGCTAGGCAGCCACAGCCAAAGTAGTTTAATGCAACAAAGTCCATGCTCAATCAACAGGTATCAAATCCAATAATTCTTAGTTAGGTCATCTGGACAGTTTCTTTTTTTATAGGTCCAGATGACCTGACTGAGAATTATTGGATTTGATACCTGGATGATTGAGCATGAAATTGTTGCTTTTTCAGAACCATTTTTGCATACATTCTGAATTGTAAACTATGGATTTAGCTAGGATTCAGCTGGTCTCAACGCAACTGATCAAACTTTCTGAATAATAAGACATGATGAAGGAGAGCCCTCTTGCCTCAGAAACATAATTGGATTTGCGATAATTGGATTCTGCTTTTTGGAGTCAGTGGAAATCTGAATTATTGATACATTTGGAGATGTCAGCAGCTGTTTAAGCTGTCTGGAATGTGTGCTGGGCTTGGCAACTCTCAGACTCTGTGCAAGCTATCTGTGGACCTGTATCAGAGCCGAACAGGTCGGACTGTGGAACTTCTGGCAGTGTTCATGGACGGTTGGAAGAAATAGATCTTGGAGAAGTCGTAAGCCCGACTTTGGCGTAAGTAATTATAATTTGGCTGTTTGGAGTCACCATGAGATGTACTAGCGAGACACTAAAGGCAGACGTGGAGATTAACGAGCTCAGCCTGACTCAAGACAATGTTGAAAATTGAATCTAGCTCTGGCCTTGGAAAGCTGATTTATCTCAATTTCTCCTTGGATGTTATGGAAACAAGATGCTCTGCTCACCTTCCCACCCCCTCCCCTCCCAAGGATGTGGACCAGTGTCAGAGTTCAACCGAGCTGGTTGATAAACGCCTCTTATCAGGACCATGACTATGGGGGACTCTGGACTGTGCTGTGCTACGACTTCCCCTCAAACTCCTTCCTTCGCCGGCCTCCCTCGTTGCCTCCCCTGGTCTAGCAACCTAGGAGATGCGAAGGCACCCAAGGACTGAGTCGTTCACCTGGAGGCTGTAATAGGACCCCCTCCCCATACACACTCCACACGCATATGTATTATGTCTATTCAGGTTGCTTTTTTGTGCTGAGGTAGTTATTTGCTATCTTACACTTCCTCGTGTTTTTCCACTTTCCTTATCTAATGAAAAAGGTGGCACTGCTCTCTGCAGCTGCAGCCTCAGACATCTGTCTCCCCCATGTCCACTTTCTTTTCTTGACGGATGTACTGAAATGAAATTTCCCTTTGGGATCAATAAAGTAAAGGTGACTGATTATTGAAAATACCATAACAATCTTTTTTTTTTTTTTTTTTTTGCATTATTCCCCTTTTAAAGGAAAGATTATTGATGGCAACAATTTAATGATGAATGTAACAACACAGGTTGTTTCTATACAAACACATATGCAGTTTGGCCACTTTTTCTTTACTGGCTTGTGACAAGTCCAGCATTATCAAACTGAAAACGCACACTGGCTAGGGCCTGTTTTGTACCCAGAATCCAAGATTCACAGGACTGGAGGACGAAGATACAAGCAAAGGCCTCTCCCCCACATTCTCAACGTTGACTGAAAAAGAAAAAAAAAAAAAGTGCGACGTCTCTGACTCTGTCTACAAGTCATGGAGGTTTATAAAAAGTCAGCAGCAGCCGTTTACCATTTCCTGTTCCAAAGCTGGAGAAGCGTAAATTCACACAATACATATTATGGGACCTTAAGGGCCAACTCTGGTGTTTTTGCCCATGAACTCTGAAAGAAATCAGCCCTGAATCTTGTCAGAAGAGAAAGAGGAGACGACAGTGATGATGTGAAAATGCAGGACCTGTTTGTGAGTCAGACACCCACATCAGCTGAACTGAACAAGCTTCAGGAGGACAAGGAAGGAGGGTGTAACATCAGACCTCCTCACAACGACTTTTTCTACTACTGCGACCAGAGTGACAGCCAAAGTCACCAGATGAGTCTGAGGGGGCATGGACCGGTCGAGCAGACTGTCACCAAAATCCATCTTAAATATTTTTATCCCATTCTTTTGAGATCCTCATGTGACAAATGTCTGCATGGTTTCTTTGGCTATTTTAGAAAATACAACTTTTTAAGAGGGGGAGGGAAATGTATTGAAATACTGAAAGAGTTTTTACTCTCTTAATATTGCTTATAACGAAGCTACGAAAAACATTAATTTGAGATTGTGTTTTTAACTCTTTTTGTCTTTATTTCATTTAAAGAAAAAAAAACGTAATTTAAGGCTTTCAGGTGGGGGGGACGGTCTGGCCCAGGTCCGGAGAGAGTCAGGTTAAGAACCTCAGAACATTTTTCACTTACTAACAATGGCTGCCGACATCTGGCTCGGTTCCCAGGGTAAGTGATGCACAAGATATGTTTGAAGCAGTGATAAACAGAAGACACACGCAAAGTTCTGTTTGTGCAAACTGATCAGTTCCGAGCCTGTGAAGACGGTCCAGTCTCTTCAAGATGATGAAGGCCCTTCCAGAGCGACTCCTAGATGGAATGGGAAGCAGTGTGGAGGTCATTTGGACTTTTGTGGTAAAGTAGGCTTTTTGGCCACCGACTCTGGTTTCTAGACCCTCCCCTCTACATGGGGCGCTTTGAAAATTCAAGCTTTTAGTTATGCACAAAAAAAAAAAAAAAAAATCACAAGAGAATAGAAGAAATAAGTTAAAGGGATTAGTTGAAACAAAATATTCAGTTCACTTGTTTGTGTATTAAAAGAAACAGGGGTGAGATTATGTTTATCAACTGGGGATTGCAGATTTGTATAGAAGTTGTTCTGCAGTGTTCTGCATTTTTATTTTAACAAAAAGTTCTAAACAATAAAATTAAACCTGGCACGCCAGCCCTGCAGCCCAAACATCAGACCTGCCTACCAGGAAATTTCCAGATCCTCCTGATTAGCTACTTCGAGCCTGCAGGGGCCAGAGCGGGTGACATCAAATCCTACATGAAACTGCTGGCTAAGGGTAAATACAGTAAGATTCCTATTCACGTTGGCGGCAATGACACTTGGCTAAAGAAATCAGACGTCACAAAATAATGTTGCTTCGGTGTGCAACTTTGCTGAAACCATGTCAGACTTGTAGTTTTCTCCAGCCCCCTCCCCAACCTGACCAGCAATAACATGTTTAGTCATATGACAGCATTCAATCGCTGGGTGTCCAGGCAGTGTTTTCCTACCTGATCCAGAACTTGCTGTATGACGATGACAATGCCTTGAAATCTATGGTTGCTCTCTGTCAGGAGTTGCTTCAACTGCTTGATGTTCTGCTCTTTCTTCTCATCCTGTAGGAAACTGGTCAGGACCACCTTCTGAGACCCGAAGCTCTCAGGTGGTTGGGGAGGTTGCTGTTGAGGCTTTTGTTTGCAGGAACTGGCCTTGGACTTGTTTTTGTTCTGATCCACTATGAAAAGAACATGGAATGAGTGTTGTGACAAGATTGATCATAAGCATCCAGAACTTCTGCACCACCCAACCCATTTGAAAAGCACAGAGACCAGGCCTGGATCAGTGCTCCATCTGATCAGCTGCTCTGATGACACCCAGCAGGCTCCCTGGATACATCAAAATCACCATGTCCTGGTTTAATCTACACCTCAGCAGGTGTCAGTCATGGAAGACAACTTATTTTAGCAAGGCTGTGCTACACAAGCTTTGATAAGCTTTCATACATATGATGGTCCAGATGGAGATGACTTCACTTTATCATAAAACTCAGATTAGCTCTTTGAGCTAGACAACATTCAGTGTAGGAGAACTCAATATTTTCAATATTATCAGGACTATCCGGATTATCATCAGGATCATCATCAGGATTATAAAAGATTGTCATCAGGATTAATATTATCAGGATAATCAGGATTAATAAAATTGTTAGGATTATTATCAGGATTGTCAGGATTATTATTAGGATTATCATCATCAGGATTATTATCAGGATTATCAAGATTATCATCAGGATTATTATCAGCATAATCAGGATTATTAAACAAGTTTATCATCATCAGGATTATTCATAATCAGGACTGTCAGGATCGTTATCAGGATTATTATCAACATGTTTATCATCAGGATTGTCAGGAGTATTATCAGGGTTATCAAGATTATTATCAGGATTATTATTAACAGGTTTATCATCAGGATTGTCAGGATTATTATCAGGATTGTCTGTATTATCAGAATTGTCAGGATTATCATCATCAGGATTATTATTAGGATTATCATCAACAGGTTTATCATCATCAGGATTTTTAGGATTATTATCAGGATTATTATCAGGATAATTACTATCAGGATTGTCAGGATTATTATCAGGATTATCAAGATTATTATTATCAGGATTATCATAAGGATTATTGAGCATGCATCAGGATATGTTCAGGTAGTTTTACAAATTATAATTTTAATTTATGTGAAATTTCTGTATAACTGCTATAAAAACTTGTAAAACCAACAAATACATGAACAACCCTCATATCTGCTTTCCTAACAGAAAAAGCTGCATTGTTACACATTAGACTTTCATCATTTTGGTCATGTAAAGCCGTACATACAGCTACAGCTCAGGAATATTTGCGTTTCCCCTACCATTATACTAGCAGAGTGCTCCACCCAGTCAACAGAAATGAGCACCCACCTACCAAACATAATTTAGAGAAAAAAATAGTTTAAAGAAGTAGTTGTAAAAAATTACTTAAGATTTGATGGTTTAACAGTCTGAGAAGATGTAATAATTATTCACAAATCTAAAAACAAAACATTATTTGGACGGAATTCGCTTGGGTTTGAATCTGCAGGAAATTAGATGAAGTGTAACAATTTGATAACAACTAGAGAAGAATCTGTCCAGAGGACTCGACTCAACCTGGTTAGATTTATCTACCCAAATTATTGAGCAGCATCAGTATATTGATGAATAGTTTTGAAATTTGGATAGATTACTTTATTTCAAGTAATTTATATACCGTATTTTACAGAGGACACGTCACACCTCCCAATAAGTTGCATCAGTCCATATTTGTCTAATAAAGTGGAAAAATCCATAAATGTATCGCTTCGTCGTATACGTTGCATCCATTATGCATCACTGCTGACAACACGAAAATGTGGAATGGTGTTGTGCCAAAAACCGATGGGCTGCCAAATGGTGGCCGCGGGAGCATGCACAGGAGGACTTTAACAAGAATTTAACAAGTAATACTTAAAAACAATTATTAGTTTGCTCGAAATTATAGTAAAGGTGTGCGTCATTCTAACTTTTGCTTAATAAATGTACTTTGATGGTCAGATGAGCTGTATTTCAAAACCCAATTTGCGGAAGCAGTGGGCACGCGCAGATGGATGAGCCAAATAAAACAAATGTGTTTGAACTACAGGAACATAATTTCTTACCTGATCCAATGTTTTTTCCAGGGGTTGAAACGAGCCTTGCTTTCAGTATAACCGACTTAATGGCAGTTGGTTTGTGTGCAGATCCTTCAGGAACAGTTGACAAAAACAAATATGTCCAATAGGTTAAAAATAAAGACTAAATATGCTATGAATTATTAACAGTTAAGTTATTAACAGTTATTAACAATTAACAGTAGTTGAAATTCAGCAGTCATGAGAAAAGAATTTAAAGCTGCAAACGGACATCTGTCACCACAAAGCACTCTAGCCTGGCCTGTGGCCTGAAAGTTATTGATGCCTGTAGCAGTGGAAACTAATGGATACACTGGTGGAAAGCAGTGGTTATGGAGGTCATGCTAAAAGCAGAGATGTTCAGGGTTTGGCTTTCAGGGAGGATTCCTGAAGCAGCTCACATGTACAAAGTGAACAGAAGGACTACAGATTCAGTGGTTGTGGAAGCAAAACTCAAGCATGGGAGGAATTCAGGGAGGCCATGGAGAAAGACTTTCGGTTGGCCTCAAGGAGGTTCTGGCAAATTTGTCTTGCAACTCCAAAGGAAAGCAGGCCCTATCCCAGGCTGTTCTTGGTTTGGGTGGGGAACTTCTGACCTAGACCGAGGAAGTTGTTGAGCAGTGGAAGGAGCACTTTGAGAATCTCCTTAATCCACCCACCGTGTCCACCTTTCAGGGGGCAGAGTCTGAGGATTCAAGGGAAGAGGAGTTCATTACCATGACAAGAGGTCACTAATGTAGTGAATAAGCTCCTCAGTTGCAAGGTGCCTGGGATGGACAAGATTTGCCCCAAGATACTGAAGACTCTGGATGTAGTGAGGCTGTCATGGTTGAAATGTCTCTTCAATGTTGCATAGGTCACCAAGACAACAACTGTGTAGTGGCACATCAGGGTAGTGGTTCCCATTTTTAAATAAAGGGGACCAGAGATGGCGATCCATTTTTCACCATCCCAGGGAAAGTTTACTCTAGGGAGGCTATGACCAATCATCAAACCTCTGATTCAGGAGGAGCAGTGTGGCTTCCACTTTGTTCATGGAACAGTGGACCAGAGTTTCACCATCGAAGAATTGCTAAGGGGATCATGGGAGTTTGCCTCTCCACACACTACATATGTTTTTTGGACCTAGAGAAGGCTTATGACCATGTTCCCCAAGGTATTCTGTGGGGGGTGTTGTGGAAGTAAGTGGTGACTGTGTTGTTTCAAAAGGGTTATCCAATCCCTGCATAACCAAAGCAAGAGCTGTGCCCATGATCTTAGCAGAGATGTGTGCATTCTCTGTGAAGGTTGAATTCTACCAGGGCTGTCCCTCAACTCTGATCCTGTTTGTGTTCATGGACAGGATCGTAAGGCATAGCCATGGAGAGGAAGATGGTAGGTTTGGGAACCTATGCGTCTCATCTCTGCTTTATGCAGATGACGTGGTTCTGCTGGTGTCTTCATACCAAGATTTTCAGCATGCACTGGGACAGTTCGCAGTCAAGTGTGAAGGGCCTGGAATGAGACAGTTCCTTTAAATCTGAGGCTTTAGTTCCCAACAGGACACAGATGGAATGCCCCCTCTGGGTCAGGGGGAGCCATTGCCACAGGTGAAGGAATACAAACTAGGCATCTTGTTCACAAGTGATGGTAGGATGGAACAGGAGATGGACTGATGCATTGAGGCCTTGTTCTCAGTTAATGAGGGCATTGCTTTGGTTGGTTGTGGTGGTGTAAGAGCCGAGTCAAAAGACAAAGCTCTCGATTTACTGGTCTGCCTATGTTCCAACTCTTACCTATTGCCATGAGGTTTGGATCATGACCAAAAGAACGAGATCCCAAATACAAGCAGCCAAAATAAGCTTTGATCGTAGGGTGGCAGGCTCAGCCTTGGAGATGGGGTGAGGAGATTTGTCTTCTGGGGGAGGTCAGAGCGAAACCACTGTTCTTTCACATCAAAAGGAGTCAGTTGAGGTGGTTCAGGAATCTGATTAGGATGCCTCCCTTTAGAGGTTTTCCAGGCACATCTCACTGATTAAGAGGTTCTGGGAAGAACCAGAACTCACTGGAGGGATTGTTTATCTTTTTTGGCAGATTTACTGGAAAGTGTCAGTGGGGGAAGAGGGATGTCTGCGTTTCTCTCCTGGACCTGTTGTCTCTATGACCCAACTCGGCTGAACATCAGAAGATGGAGGAAGGAGATTAATGCAATGCAAAGCTCGGTTTTATGAACATGTTACAGCTTGACCCAAACCTGAAATGTATAAAAAATTTAACTTCAGCAGATTCCCTCCTGGTCAAGATATATTCTTGTGGGGGGAAAAAAACTGGACATGGCTAAAAACAGTCTGCAGGTTATTAAAAAGGTGTAATCATTTGAGACAAAACATGTTTTGAATAGACTAAATTACTTATGAGAATCACCTGATTTACTTCTAGTGCTTTGACCCAGTTCACTGTGATCACTGCCTTCATTAGGGCCCTGGGATAATCCCTGAGTTTTCCGTGGTATTCTAGAAGCAGGAGTAAGGGGTGGGCCCATAAGAGAGGGGCGAGTGGGAGTCTGAGGAGGCCTGGTTCCATTCAGCTGGGGCTTTATGACGAGAGACATTTCTTCTGTCGCCTGTGCTTTCTGACAGTCTGAAATGAAAGTGAGGACAATAAATTGCATAAATCTCAAGTCTAAAGATAGGGTTACAATTAATCATTTAGAAAGGACAATTTTGGGAAAAAGGAATTCATAAATACTGAAACATTTGTTAACCTTGTTTTCATTTTATTAATGGGCAAGAAAAATTTAAAAAAATGTTACTGCAACTAAACATTCTTGATCTGGTGAAAGACAGGTGGGATAATAAAATTATGGGTTGTGGAAATTGGCATCAGAAGCATTTGTAATGGTGAGGACACATCGGCGGGGTGTCTGTGGGTCCTTCCCCAGAAAATTTTGAATAAAGTTGTGTATTTTAACGGGATGTTAAACATCTACGTTTACCTACATAAGTAAACACTTTATTCAATAACTATGAGGGCACGGCACAATGCTGTTTCCCCAGTCGACAACTGCCAGCACTAATGTAGCACTAATCTAGCGCTAAGCTAGAGGCACGCAATACAGATGCGTTAGCTTTGATGCTACAGATGTAGTGCTCCGCTTCTCCAATGCATCCAAAACCCCCCACCCCAGTCAACAACTGCCTGCATTAATGTGGCGCTAAGCTAGCGTGTCCCCCCTCCTCCTCCCACCCCGTTAAATTACCTTGAAGAGACACTGCAGGCAGTTTGATGAACAGTGAACTTTTAATGCTTTGAGTATTCCATTAATCAAGTGGAATGGATTTGTTCACGAAGAAATATAAACGGCACTCTGTGAACCAATATTTCATGGTAAATGTAGGGGGGTCCAAACAATTTTTTTTAATGCAAAGGGACACACATCCTCTTCACACACAATTGTTGTGATGTCTGGTTGTGGTAGTATATTCTTAGTTTAATAAAACAGTAGGAATATGAAATCACATTTGTGTCGAAGTAAGCCAATCCAATAAGCTTACGGAAAAATTAAATCTGCTCCCCACAACACTTCAGTCATAAAGAACAGCATGTTGTATTCTATTAATTCAAGTCAACTTTATTTATAAAGCACGTTTAAAACAGTAGCTGTTACCAAAGTGCTCAACAGTAAAGTCAATGGGCATGAAGGGAAAAAAAAAAAAAGAAATTAAAGCTGCAAGCAGCGTTGATGGCCCTCGCAGCCTAGTGCCGCTCCGGCCTCAGAGCAATCGTGGGAGCAACAGCCGTCCTCGAGTGGCAAGTCTTAAAAGTTTTGCCCTAACCCTAACTGACATACACCGGTGCTGAAATCTGACCTTCATGAAAGAAATGTGCATGCATTGTACAACTGAAAGTGAAACGTGTGTGTGGGTGTGTGGGTGTGTGAACATAACTTTGTTACAAATATAGCTATACAAATTCCTAAGAAAATTATTTCATAGGCACAGCTGACTACCAACTTAGACAAATAATATACAAAAAAGCAACGCCTTATGTTTCCACCAAATCTGTACAGGTGCCTCACCTGACCTCAGGTAACAAGGCACTGATGTTATCTCATATGCTAACGGGTGATGCCAATGCTGAGCCAACATGCTAATTCTATAATTTCTTATTTTTGATCTGCTCTGATCAGGCCATTTAGCTGCATCATCTTGATCAGCATCTGATGCTTAACATATCCAAGTTTCATCCAGCAGGGACAGCGGGTAGCCATGGAGACTGCTGCCATTGTAATCTAGAAAAATAGCCTCCACAATCCAGTGGGAGGGTTAGAGCATTGCCCTTGGCTGGTTTAGCCACATATATAAACGTGATCACATAACCTCACATTCCCTGTGTGGTGGTCAATGTAAATGTGTAGTGCACATAAAGGACAAGAAATTCAATTCAATTCAAAAATACTTTATTAATCTCAAAGGGAAATTATTTGTTGTTGTAACTCGTTAGCCTCATATCATTGAGATGTTATAGATACTGATGGCTGTAGGCAGGAAGGATCTCTTGTTAAGGTCCATCCCACAGTAAATCCTAAGAAACTGGTTCCAGATGCCGTCCGATCCGTCCACCCAGACTCGGCTGGCCTCTGTTCCCCCGAGCTGTAGGACCGCCCGAATGCCAGGCAGAACTCCTCCCAGAGTGATGGCCACTCCTCCCAGCAGTCTGCTGAGCTCCTCGTCGCTGCGGACAGCCAACTGTAGGTGTTGTGGGACGATCCTGTCCTTCTACTGTCATGAGCCGTGTTTCCTATTAGTTCCAGAATCTCAGTGGTCAGGTACTCGAGCACAGCTGGCAGGTAGATGAGAATGCTTCCACAGAACATCCTTTCAACTCATTTGAGATTTGGAGCTGTAGTTGAGATATTATTGGAGCTTTTGAGATGTTAATCAGCTGCTGTTGGTTGTAGAAAACAGCCTTGTTGCCATGGTTACGCATCATAACAAATGTCCAAAACAAAAAAAGTTTCAGTAAAAATCCTTCCAGCTTCACAGCATCTGATACCAGAGGAAACAATCATCCAAAAAATGTGATTTACATCCAGATAAACAGGAATTAAAGTTTCCAAAAGCAAAATCTCAGAATGAAAGTAACCGAGCTGCTCCAACATGCAGTCACCTTGAGCAGCGCAATTAGGTGCAAAATGCAACCTACATGGCTGCTCAAATGCACAAGAGGGTGGACAAAAGCTCAAGAGCTCAAAAGTCATGGAGATGTAGTCCAAGTATATCCTTGGGGGGGGGGGGGGTCACATTTGGTCACAGAGCTAGAGTGAAAACTGGACACACGAGGGGTTCAGAGAGAGCATGGAGGTTACCAACCCACTTTGCAGTCATCAACTCAAGAAGCAGAGTGATTTTATATGAAAGAAGCTTCATATCCACCGACTACATGGATTCAATTGAAGAGTTGCAGAGTCTCAAGCGCCACAGTAAGATCCAAGGAAGGGATAAGGATGGACTGATGGGACGGCATCTGCAGCCAGTTTCTTCAAATCTACTGTGGTACGGACCTTACAAAAGATCCTTCCTGCCTACAGCCATCAGTATCTATAACAGCTTTTAATGAAACAAGGATGAGTTACAACAACATTTAAATTACCCTTTGGGATTAATAAAGTATTTTTGAATTGAATACAGGGTTTGATAATAGGTCTTAGTCTATGGAACCCTTTCAAGAAACGTATAGCCAAAAGGAGAAGACCTGGTGTGATCCCATCAAAACTAATAAGGCAGGCAGAAATAGCTGCCAGATAAACCTTAATTGTGGAAAAAGACTTTTATACTCCTGTATAAATATTAAGACAACCACCATTAAACACTGAAATAGGACAATGTGTTTAACTTCACACCACTGCGCAAAAGCTTATAAATTGTAGACATATAATCCTCTAGTGAAAGATGCCCATGAGCTTTGGATCATTGCCACTGTAGTGGACTAGGCCTATGTCAAAACTGACCAGATGGACAGAAACTGTCATTTCATTGATTTGAATCCAGAAATACAGTTTAGACCCATCCTGAGACTTTCTTTCTTGAATTATTCAAGTGGAAAAGACAATTATCTATGATCATTACTATTTTACAAATGTTTGATAATCAAATTGTGTTAGTTCAAACAATGTTTACATGTTGAAGTGAACTACTCATTTTTATTTACTTAAACAGTAGTAATGATTTTTATTCCTCATTCAAAGAAGAAATCAGGGTAATATGCATTTCTTGATTTTTCTGTCTTCAATGAGCAAATTTGTAAGTGTGTTAAAGTTCGAGCTTCGGTCAACTAAAAAGTTTACTGAAAAGAAATGTCATGTTTAACTTTCACAGCAGATACTAGGAGTAGAGACGCCACAAAGTCTGGTTTTTCCATGATATCTTTCTGTCTGTGCTTAAACAATCCTTGACTTTCCATAACACCTTACATCACAAACCACACCTCTGTTCTGGTCCATCCACGAATCAGAAAGCTCTCAAATGAACCGGAAGTATAGCCCGTTTAAATGTGGCAACTTCCCAGTTCGACAGTAGAGTTGAGAAGAGATGGGTTACAGAGTTTCAGAGTTGAGAAGAGATGAGTTTCAGAGTTTTCAGAGTTGAGAAGAGATGGGTTACAGAGTTTCAGAGTTCAAGAGTTCAGAGTTCTGAAGGAGTTCAGAGTTCTTGGAATCCAGAATGCAGAGCTGAACCAGAGACGATTTTGGGAATTATAACTTCTGTTTGGATAACCTCGCACGACTCTCGAGGTATTTTAGCTGTTCTCAACGGAGACGCTGAAAGTGGCTGGAAGTAGGACTTCACGCCGACCTGATCTATGTAGTGGACTAGGCCTATGTCAAAACTGACCAGATGGACAGAAACTGTCATTTCATTGATTTGAATCCAGAAATACAGTTTAGACCCATCCTGAGACTTTCTTTCTTGAATTATTCAAGTGGAAAAGACAATTCTCTATGATCATTACTATTTTACAAATGTTTGATAATCAAATTGTGTTAGTTAAAACAATGTTTACATGTTGAAGTGAACTACTCATTTTTATTTACTTAAACAGTAGTAATGATTTTTATTCCTCATTCAAAGAAGAAATCAGGGTAATATGCATTTCTTGATTTTTCTGTCTTCAATGAGGAATAAAAATCATTACTACTAATTTACTCAGTGGCTGTGTAGTCAGTTAATGTAAACTCAGAGGTTATTAAATAATGGTCAGACAGAACAGGATTTTGAGGATGTATTAATAAGTACTTTATCTCCATGCCACAAGTCAGAACCAGATCGATACACAATGCAAGTTCGAGTTCACCCTCCCCCATCTAACTCCTAAGTCGTGCATTCTTGCACGTTGGACCCGGGCTATTAACCACTTCACTGCCACACGTTTCACAGATGTTTATAACTCTGAAATGATCATTCAGCCCCCAGTGTTTCTCACCACTACTGAGGAGCTGACATCCCAGTTCAACTCCGTCTGCTTAAAGACTCTGGATCATGCTGCGCCTGTTAAAACCAAAAAATCAAAACTCAGAGCAGAACCTTGGCTGAGTGACGTCACCAAGGCCGTTAGGCAGCAATGTAGGAGGGCGGAACGAA